CGTCGACAAATTGAAATTTTAATTGAAAGCAAATTAACATCAGTAGTTGGTTTCATTCAGGGCCACATTCTTCTTGACCGAAATAACGTTGATAACAATTCGTTAACATTACATTGAGAAAGATCTGCCATAATCAAATCTACTCTTTGAAATAATATAATGTTCATCATTTTGTTATTGCATTCATACTGTATTTATTTATTTATATTATTTATACATTTATAACCTGTTGAAAAAAATGTTTTCATTTATACATTTTCAATACAAATTTTTGCAGTTTGTTTTCACCGAATCATTTGATTGACACCTTTCAGTTTTTCCCAATTTATAAGACTTAAATGTTAGTTTAAATTTAATTTTATTTAAATATAAGATTTTAAATGTTGAAAACTACTTAAGTGTTCCAGATTCGTCGCTGCGGATAACAAATTAAAATATCTTATATTTCTGAATAATCTAGGATAAAACCATTTAAAAATTCAAGCAAAACGTAAAATATAGAATACTAACAAAATAAAAACTGCAAAACGAGAATTTGTGTTCCAGAGGTTCTTTGAAATTTTTTTTAGTAGATGTTACTGAAATTTGTACATCTGAACTCTCAAAGTTTATAATTTTAAAGGTATTTCGGCACTGTTGCATAACACGTTGCAGAAAATGTTGTTGCGTTGTAAAACTTGTAACGATGCTAGCAACATACGCCTCAAGTTCAAGGCCACCTGAACGATTTAAAAACTTCTAAAAACGTTTTTGTGGAATGAAACTGTTAAAGTATGTATGTGCCTTGAAAGTTTGAAAATTTCGTTTTTTTGAAAGCAGCTTTAACGAAACGTAATGTAATTTATTTGTTGATTGTACACGCACGGACTGACTCGTAACGAAATTTTTTTCTTATTTGAGTATGAACGTTTGAACCAAATTCATGGGTGTTTGCCTGTGCCGACGTGCGTTTCTTCAATGTTACTCATCTTCAGCGCTTATTTAAGAATATTTCAAAATTTTACAATTCTTTGTGTATGCAAAGTTCTTTTATTTTTCTTTGTCCTGTGCAAAGTGCTTTTATTCTGCTTTTTTGTGTTGTTGTCAAGAATTTGACGGGTTATTGGAGTTGGAATATTCAACATCAACAACATTCGTATATTGGTGTTACGATCACTTCACTATCAAGACGTCTCACAATGCATACACAAATCAACCAACACATGCAACTCCAATAACCCGCCAAATTCTTGAAAACAACACAAAAGTAGTTTATCAAAATACCAACACAATACATATAAAAATTGCAGAGGCTGTCCAAATAAACACACGTATTAAGTAGTACCATTATGAGCACCCATCACATTTGATGCAAGATGGCTGATCTTTCACTGAGTGATAACCGCAGTCCACACATAAAAAGAAGAAGCGAGGATGAGAGAACCAAAATGAAGCGTGAATGAACTGTGACTAACAGACAACTTTAATTAATTGTTTTGCAAAATATATTTTGTAAAACTTGTAAATTTTTTTGAATCGGCAGACTTTTTGAGTGTTAATCATAAACTTAAAAATTAAGTGTTAAACATCTATAACATTACATTTCCTGACACAAATATTTTATGATTATGAAATAACATGTGCATGACAAAACAGCGTCGACAAACGTGCAAACATTATATAATAATAATAATAACGCGATTTATTAGGCGCCAAACGCACAGCTACCATAAAATTTTGAGTCAATCGTTTTTCTAAATCGGATATATCAATAGATTTACCATTTATGAATCCCAATTCATAAATTCCAAACCTGTGGTTTCCAAAATTCTAAAAGTATGTTATTCCAAACCTGAGAACCGCAACTTGAGAATTTTGATTTAGTTATGAAATTGTTAAGGAAACCGTAAAAGGAACTGCGAAGGGTTTTATTATGTTCATGGTAAAAAATAAGAGATTATAGATAAAAAGGTGATTTTAAATTTAAAATTTTAAAGCTAGGAAAAGCAATTTTATAAATTACTCGCGATTACACTAAAGACCAATGCAGCTTTGAGAAGTTTTGGGGAGCATGAATGTCTGACAGGATTGGTGGCATAGTTGGATGCTACGTTTAAACCAACACGAATTTGACCAATTTATTCTGGACCGACTGCAACATATAAAGGCAAGCGATTAAGAAGCGTGGTAAAGTGGTAAGTAGAAATTGTCGATTTTTAAAAGAATTAGACAGCAAGTAAGGATTGAAGCGGTGTTACGGTTAAAAAGTGTCTTATGTGAGTAATGGCTTTTATGTGAAAGTTACACAATTTAGGGACCCTATCGATTGTCACATCGAGCAATTTACAGAATTATGAAAGAGAAAGTTGGAACCAGCAATATTTGTTTGTTATGTGGTACAAATAAACAAGTTTCACATTTACAAGAGTGGAGTTGAAAAAAATTTACGCAACCACGAATGTAAACTTTTTGAGCATTTGGTGAAGTTATCGATATTGAGGTAGAGGTTTGAGAGAGATACGAATATTGGTGTTGGTCATTTTTATAGTGCTTCTCTAAGTTAAACTCAAAGGCTCTGTTTGAGAAGCTGGCGCGCAAAATAATGATGTTTTAATTCTATGTGAAAATTTTTCTTTCTTCCGTCACATTCACCATGCATGCAATGATGCAGTTTATTCCAGACATCTGCTGCAGCCACAGAGTAATGATGTCGTCCATTGTTTTCTGTTCTGAATTTTAGGACAAGTCTCTTTTTAGTAGAAGATCAGATTTTATGTGGTGTCATCAGCTTCAGCGTATTGGTGGAAGAATTCGTCAGATTTTTTAATAATATTGTCCATTTGGAATATGTATGTTGTAAAAAATTGAACCGAAGACGTTTTGGTACTCCAGCCCAGCATTAACCACAATATTATTCTTCGATGGATGGTTTCCAAGCCAGTTGTACTGCTTTCTTTCTTGACAAATTTCATCCAGGAGCCTGATTCTCGATTCTGAATTCAAATTGGAAACAGTTCATAATTATTCAGTGTTAATCGGGTCAAAAGCAGCCAAAAAAAATCAAGGCCCGTCACAACGGTGGCGTTGGAGCTGCCACACTTTTCATAAATATCAGCTGTAATACGTAAAAGAGCTGTCTCAGTAATGTGAGAGAAATAATTTATAATACACTAACAAAAATAACTGCACATTCATTCAAAGCATTAATTACAAAAGTGCTGCCAGTGGGCAATTCAACACGAAAACGCCACCAAGAATTGTCATCTGTTTATGATATTATGCATTACTAAAAGGGACAAATGTGTTATTTGTATGCAGCCTTTGCAAATGCAAAGCAATTATTCCCAACAAAACAAAACGTTCTGCAATGTTTACCATCAGCAGCAGAAACAACGACAACAGCAACAGCAGCAACAACAACAACATCAGCAACAACCAATCATGTACACAGAAAAAAAATTGTAACAATAAAAAAATGTTAAAACATTAACGACGGATACTGCGTTGTATTCAACAAGCTTCGTACCAACAACAGCACAATTTATAGCAAAAAATTTACATATCAACCTCTCTGGAACATGAAACAAGCCAATGACAGAAGCCTTGATAGCGAACATAATGCAAACAAAAATGCATTTAATTCGTTCAGAGATCTTATCAGACATCAAAATCTTCCGCCTCTTTTTCAACTTTTTTAATATATGGATATATATATAATATTTATTTATTAATTCATTTATAAATCAAATCAAACAGACATATAAAAAAAATGAAAGAAACAATAATTGTTAATAAGATTTCAAATTGTGTTTTCAAATACAGAAAGCTGCCTGTTAATTGCAAAAATTGTTTACCACTTTTTAAGACAAGCCAAATTTTAATGTATCACTAATCTTAATTTTTCCATTGAGTTTAAGTTTCTAAAGCAAGCAACAAATTCACATGCAACTATAAGTTGATTATTCTCGAAAATATACACCACACAAATCTTTTTAGACCATCGACATTATGCTTCTTCTTTTCGGTTTCTCTTGGTTTCTTGGTGGTGCTTCATGACATTTGTGCACTCACCATCGCTTTAAAATTTTTATTCAATTTCAACTAGATACAAAATAATTTAACTTATTTAAGTTGTCTGCTTAAACTTTAAACAGCAGCCAGTGAATGAGATGGCATCGTCAAAATGTTTGTTCTGCTAAGTGTATTTGCACATGGCTAACAGCAAACGTGGTGGCTGACTTGTGAGTAGGGGTCGTCGTGTCTCTGTTTTAGATTTTAACTTTGCTGCGTTGAACGACACTGTACCTTGTGGATGTGGATGTGTACACATCAATTCAAATTTTGTGCTCCTACAGAAAAAATCCCCATTATGCTCTTGTTTTAGTTCATTTTAGCTTTGTGCACACCTCCTATACGCTGTGTTTACATTTTGGCGGGAGATGAATAAAAAATTTATTAATTATTAGTTAATGAACCTTAATGTGAAAATTGAAGCATCAGTATGTTACCCTAACCTACCTGCCCAATGTAACGTGCCGATGTACCATTCCAAAAAATTCTTCACACCGCGTTTAATAAATTGCAGTTGGATGTCTTGATGCTTCAAGCTTGTACGATGCTGTCATTATCTTGGTCAACATCATGGTCACCATTATTTTCATCGTCAGCTTTCTTAATGTTTGGAATGTTTGGTGTCTTTTTTATTTTGATCACGACGAATAATTATCATCATCGCCTTTTGATTTGTTAGAATTATCGCAATATTATAAGCATTTCAGGCTATCCAGATTAAAAAAAATTTTGTTAAACTCCATACAAACGATTTTAAAAAATCTTACATTTTTCGGATTGCTGAGTTGATTAATGATGGCATTATTGCAAGTTATAATTTTCTGGGAACTGTTCCAGAGTGATTTTTAATAGTAATAATTTAACTCATGAATACACGTCTAAATATTGTTTTTGTTGTGTAAATACACGACAAAAACAATTAATTCATCAATACAAATAATAAAAAACAGTTGCAGGCAGCCTCATTAAAGCGGACAACAATTTCTGTGGAGCATTTTTGACTGTTCTGTCCTGGTTCCTCATCTTCCTCACCATGCCCATGTCTTTGTGCCTCTGTCTCAAGGTTTCATCTTCATTTTCAATATTATCTTTCTCACCCTCTCTATTTACATTTTCATCTTCTTCAACACCATTTTCGTTTTTTCTTCTGTCTATCAATCAACCAACCTAACAAACAAACAACCATTCAATCAGCTAACCAAACAAACATAAAATCAACTAACCAATCAACTAACCAAATAAACAACTAATCAACCATCTATCCAAACAAACAAACGAACGAACGAACGAACGAGCGCATTTGTAACGTAGGTGGTGCAGGAGTACGAGAGAGCGGTCATCTTCAGGCTAGGCAGACTGCTTCAACACGGAGCCAAGGGACCTGGTTTGTTAAAAATGTTCTTTTTCTTCACATTATTCATTCATATGCTAAATTAATTAAACAAGTTTCTAAGATGCTTCCGTAAGAAAGGGTAACTAACCTTTATGAGGTGATATTAACTGACGTATTGTAGGCTGGTTTTATCATTTTTATAATACATAATATATTTTATTCTGAATTCTTATTCTGGAAGTTGCTGATATTTTACGTTTTTATTCCATAATCTTATTCAGTTGTTTTTTTCTAGATCTTGGTAAAAACACTCTTCATTCATTCATAAATAAAAAATCATAAATTGTTTGTCGTTTTAATCTTTTGTCTACTTCGACTTATCCTTGTTTATCATTATCGTTACCTATTTGGATTTTTAATTTTGAATTCGACATCGATACTTTGCTTGTTATGTTGTTTCTTTACACGGTTAAAAAAATTTTGCTTACATAAATAATAACATGCATGTTTATTTATGTGAAAAGTTAACTGGATGTGGACAATTTTTGGGTAAAATTTTTTTATAATTTTATTTATGTGAGCGTAATTTTTCAAAAATCTTTTTCTTCTTCAACTTATTTTTTTAATTTCATTGATCGATTGATCCAACACTTTTGAAAATATCTCAAAAATTTAACGAATGAGAAATAAAATGCGAAATAAATTTACAACCCCAGTAATTATTATTAATAGAAACAAACAAACATTAATATTATTAATAATATGGATAATAAAAATGTCTGATACAAAAAAATAAAATAATAACAACAACAATGAATGATACAAAATCTGCCTGGAGCGAATTGTTGCCTGACAATCGTCTGGACATTTGCAAAAAAATGTCCAGCAGAACAATTTTTTCCGTCCACAAACAGAAAATTCCTTCGATACTGAACCGGAAGTAGGTTGAAAATTTTCTGCAAATCTAACATGAAAATTAAGGGCATCGTAATCTGGCGCGTTTTTAAAAAGAACCCATTGAGCAGTTGTATCCAATCTACAAATTACATTGAGCCTATCATAATGTTGATCCTTTTTTTAATTGAAGCTTCAAATAAGCTAAAAAAGTTATAATAAAGAAAGTCTTAAAAGAGTCTAAATAGTTATGAAATGAAGTGTTAAAATAAAAGTATTAAAATAAACAATCCCCCTATGCTCATTATCATAAGAAGCGAAAAAATATTTAAAATGGTATCAGGATGAGCTGTTTCAATCGCAGTAGTATCCGCAAAATGAGCTGATCACCGTTTTTATTTAGTTTTTCATCAAAAGAAATCGGCCATAAAATTTTAAATTGTGATAGGTTAAAATGGTTATAAAAGCCAATTGGCGATTTTTCAAATGAATTCAAAGCGACTGAACAGTTGATAAAATAATTATTTTATGACTTGAGGTTTTCTTATTTATTTTTGGCGTTTGTATTGTCTGAATGATAACATGTTTGTTTCATGGTATATCGTCAATTCTACAATTTCTAGAATAATAATAATAACAATAATGAAAACGTATAACAGAACACAAAATCAACACAAATGAAAAAAATTGTGAATATAATTACACCAGTTTAATTTGAGGAGATCGAATCATCGTTTTGATTAATAATTTTTATTTTAATTATTTATTAATGGCAGCGTCAATTATTGTCATGATCATCAGATTGTTATCGTCGTGGTAGCTGAGTTGAGTTCTCGGAACGGTTTTGTACCGGTTGATCTAAACGTCATGTAATTTTAATAGCTGCAAACATATCTATCATATATTATTACATATGATTGCGAATAATGAATGATCAAATGAATGAGTAAATTAATAAATACGTAATAAAAATGTAGAAATAAATAACTGATGTTGACTGGTGTGTGAGTTAATGAACTATTTGCAAGCAGCGAAGTGTGGTTGATAGGAAACAAACTTGCAGGACTGTTCTTCGTCATTCCCTGCACGGACTCCTACACCAAGGTCGACCTGAGAACGGTCTCCTTCGATGTGCCACCTCAGGAGGTTAATTCGTCATTTAATTCAATTTTTCAAGTATTCATCTTTTCATTCATTCGTTCGTTCATTCGTTCGTTCGTTCATTCATTCATTTTTCATTCATTTGAGAGTTTGTTTATAGGTTCATTGATTTGTACAATTTTTCGTTTGTTTTTATTCATTTCTTTATTCGTTAATTCATTTATTTCCCTTTTTTAATTTATTCACGTATTTATTTATTCATCAGTTGCTACATTGTTAAAGAATTATATCTTTTATTTTACTTATAAAATTTTCTGTTCATTTATTTTATTCATTCTTTTATTCGCTCTTACGTTCAGATGAACGTAAGAGCGAATTATCCAATTAAAATGTTTGATTGTATTTTTTCGTTCTCTTCTTCATCAGCGGTTTTGTTTTCATAAGTTTGAATTAAAGCCGCCTCTACTAATTCTTATTTTTAGTAATTTTATATTTTTGTTTAATTTTTTTCAACAAAGGGAAAATTTGATCAATAATAGAATGGCATGTGGTGCATGAGGATGTTGATTGAAGTGATCAAACCATCAGACCTACAGAAAATATTTGGCAATCAAAAAACAAGGTCAGAGTACAAAAACTGAAACATTTTGTGTATATTTGCAAATGGTCGGTTAGCGGATTAATTAAATCTGTGCTGATGAGAACAAACTTGAAGTGAAAAGTTTGAAGGCCTGCCAAGTAATCGAAAGATGTTGTTACAGAATGGACTGAGATAGGAATTGAAAAAAGTTTGGAAGATCTTTCTACAAAAAATTTGGGCGTCATCGACCTCAGCGCTTGTTCAAGGGGTTAAAGAGAATTAGTGATTGATTGACTAAATGACTGGTTGGCTGGCTGATCGACTGAATGACCGATTGATTGACCGACAGACAGACTGATTTGATTTATTGATCAATTAATTGATTGATAAGTGTTAATAAAGGAATATTCAAAGGAATATATTAAATTTCTGTTCAATTTTACCTATCACGATGATTTGATTAACCCGACCATTGATTCTTGGAATGATCAGCGCTCACGGCTCACATGTAAGTTCATATGAGGCCATAACTTATTTGTGCCAACGTGTGAAATTATAGTGATAGACGGAAATGACAAGACAGACTAAACAAAAAAGTGCAAAAAAAGAAAGATGGCGATCAATTTGGAGTATAGTACATCGGGTATCAGATTACATGGCACTGTGGAGTAGATTGTTTGGGGTGTGTATGGGTGTGCGTGCGTGTGTGTACGTTTGTGTGGATGTACAACTATACACTAGGGTAGGTCGTCCCAAAACTTTTTTTAAACTATCGACTATGAATAGCAATAAAAAGTTGCTTTAGCATATATGGATCACATTTGGAATAAAATTTAAAAAAAAAAATTTTGTTTAACTTTGCCGCCAGGGCCTTGAAAAATGACTTATATTTGCCATTGAAATAAGCTCATATAATATATAACAGTATTTCTATTCAATGCCAATTGTTTGATTAATATTAAAACCAAGATTTACATTTTATTATTTTGTTAAATTGTTTCCAAAAAAATTATTTTTTTTGTAAAAAAAAATTATTTTTTTCAGAAATTTTTTTTTTATAAAAATGCAATTTTTTTTTATTTTTTTTTTTGTAAAAAAAACACAAATTTTTTTTTTGTAAAAAAATTTCAATAATTGGAGTGATACAGTTACACAACATACTTTTCGGTATATTTGATAATTAAAAGACTCTGTTTTTTGCATATAAGAGAAAAACATTGAATTTTATTATATTATAATATATATTTACTATTATAATATTATCAGTTTCAGTTAATCTCTCCTCTTTTCCAATCCTTCTTCAAACCAAAATTTGGAATTTCTTTTCTTGATTCTAATTTTGCTCTTATATATCCATCACGTTTCAGAGCACCACAGACTGGCGATGATGCTTCGGTTACAAACTTCACATGTCGTTCCACGTTGATTATGGCAAGGATATTTTTTTAGTGTCCACTTCCGAGGTACTTTAATTGCTGCTTCAATTTCGTCATCACTTATATCTCGTAGCATAGGTGGCGAGGTTCTTGGAACGTCTTGCCAATTTAGAAAACAATAGTATTTGGCAGCCTCAAAGTTAAGAGAAGGACATTGAAATTTTCTGATTTTACCTTCACCAGGTGCTGTGGCTTTTCTTGCACATTTAATTCGTCCGGCTGCAAGTTCTCTTATCTCTTCTCTGTCATCCAACAGCATTGCTGTTAAAATATTTTCTGGGCGACCAAAAAAAGCATTTCTTTGAATACATTTATTTATTACCTGGAGTTCATTTTTAGGAAGAAAACGCGTAAATTGAATCAAGCGCCACACTGAGGTTGTATTTTTGTAAAAAAAAACAAAAACGTAGTGAAGCATAAACTATTAGAATGTAGTCCGTGAGCAATGTGAGTTCTTTAGAAGATGACGTGGTTGAAACATACATATTGGCTGCTGTATGCCAATGTGAATGGATTAAAGGACCAGGTTTTTTTTAGTCAGTTCTTTTTATACTTTTCCAATTTTTATTGTTTTAACTATGTTGAAAATATACTTCTGATATTTGTGATATCTTGTAAAAGTGTCGGCAAATTATTCTGTCGTTTTTCAAATTTCACAACAGTTAGCTCATGACATTTTCAAGTACTTTCCCTATTGCTCCACAAAAAGCTTTTTTGGAGCAATAGGCTCTTTAATTTGGCTCCTAAAGTAAAGTAATATGTTTTTCAACAAAAAAGCTTTTGCTACAAGTTAATGACGTACAAATAGTTTTGTCTTTTCTTCCATCAAAGAAAATTGACTTTGGACCTGCAGCAGCTAGAGTTATCTTTGCTTCATACGTTAATTTGGCTCAAAGCCGTTGCCTTTGTCGTCTCAGCTTTGAGCGGTCAATAAATGCTGTCCTGTCGATTTTTTATAACTCCATAGTCTGTGAGGGCAGCTGTAGCTATAGCAGCGCCTGCAACATCAGATACGCCATACCTATCGCATTCTCTAACCACTGTAGGAAACTGGAGCATATTTCTAAAAGATTCTGCGTGAGACGCCTTGGACTTTTCCCAAACTCTTTGTTTTTAAATTTTTTTTAACACACGTTTTAAATCAATCACTAAACTTTATATAAAAAAAACCGTTCTATTTCATTTGATGAGCAAGAGTATTTGACCAATTTGAACATGCGTCACAACTACCAGAATTTGAAGCCCAGTTGCTCCTAATTTTAGTAATTGCAGTTGTTTATAACTATTTCCAAATTTATTATTAATTATTAGTATAGCATTTTGATAACGGTGTTTATTATTTAGAACGAATTAAAAAATTAATATTGCCGTGAACGAGAAAATTTATGTCCTTGCAATTATTAATTTTCTTCATTTTGATCCTTAAAATAAGAAGTGTCGTTAGTAATTTGGAGTATTTTTATAATTCCTAAAATGACTAATAATAAAAATAATGATTACTCTAATCATTAATTATAGCTTTAAATTAAAATTAATTGTTTTACTAATTATTATTTACATTGTATAAAAAGCACAATATAAGCTAAAAATGCCAATCTTGCTCCTTCTGGCGGCAAAGGAAGATGAGTCTTGATTTTGAAAAAAATTTTCATTTCATACTAGATCCATGCCATAGCATGGATCTAGTATGTTACTATTCACTATTCACTACACTATTCACATTCATTTTTTTTTCTGACGACCTACCCTACTATGTACACTGTTCATTTTTGCACATGGTGTCCATGTGTACATGGTTTTCAGATATACATGATGTAAAATATATCCACGTGTTTAGAGAGTTCATTGCTTGTATGCGTACATGGTTTCATGTGTACGTTGTGGGTATGTGTGAACTCGATAGGTTGTTCTTTTTCTATTGGCTTGTTAGTCATTCCGAAAGACACTTATTATAAACAAGCAAATGTCATTTTCTGAAAAGAATTCCCATTATTGAACATGAACAGAAAACATTGCATGAATATATATCATCAGTGGTGGGCGAAGTTTAACGACATAATTGTAAACAAATTAGTTCAATTATTTTTATAGTTTCAAGTGTAGTTTTACTAAGATATAGCTTAGTCAAAATAAAAGTTAAGCTAAAACATCAGTTTCAAACAAATCGTATAATTTAAGTTTGTATTTCGGATTGAAAATGTTAAAAAGTTTGGCTTATCTCTTTGAAACTATGGATGCTCGCTTTTTATTTATAGCTATGTATGAGTTTATGGGTTTGGGTAACTGCACTCATAATTTGTATGTTAGGCTGTTGCTATGTTGTTAATATATTTAATTATATATATATATATATATATATATACATATATATATATATATAAGTATATAATAAATATATATATATAAATATATATATACTTGTGTATGTTTGTATGTAATGTTTGTATGTAATAGTATTTACAGAAATCAAATAAAAGTTATAAAAAAAGCCGCATAAAATTCCTACAGCCAATTGTTATTATGACACCGATGGAGGTTCCTGACTATCCGGACGTAACTGAAGACGTTGAACAGGTTCAATCTTATGCAAACACTTTTCAGACATGTAACTCGGACTAAGACCATTCAAACATTTAAATATCATGATGGCGACTGTGAATTTAATTCTTTGCCTGTCAGCCAGTGCAGGTTCAGTAGACTATGACTAACATGGTCAAACTTCAATCCACCAGTAAAGATCTTAGCTGCTCAATTTTGAAATGACTGTAGTTGGCACATTAGTTGGTTGGAAGTTCACACTGTTACAGTTTCTAGCTTAGATTGAATGAACGCGTTAACCTGATATTTTAATATAACCTAATCAAGCGAATTTATGATCTGCCTAAGCCTTCGTAGTTGAAACGAACATTCCTTATTCAACATTTTGACATGATGATATATAGATATAATTTGATTAAAAATTCTTCCCAAATTATTGACAAATGAACAAAACTTGATAACTGATCCAGATTTGTCAATAGAGTTGACAC